CTCCCCTAAATCCGTTCCCTTTTTTCAATATTGCCATTCTCCATCTTTCTTTTTCCAGATTCTATTTTCGACTGTTTGTCTTCCGCTCTTACTTTCCGAGATGGTGAGTTGGAGTTTTTTCCTTTACGTTGCAACCTTTAAGAGCGGCGAAGAAGGCACCATCATGGATACTGTTGAACTCCTTTGTGCTCCCAAAAAACTTGAGAGGGATCGTGGGGAAGTACTGCTGAAGGAAATGACTTTTACAGACGAGGAACTAAAGAGCATGGTTGACTGGATTCTTATCAAAGCGGAAAATCTACCAACGTGGGAAGATGTACGCCTCTTTTGCAGTGGTTTTATTGCTTTTATTTCTTCTAGATCTTTGGTGCAGTGACCCTGTCACGAATTCTTCTACAAAAAGTACCAGACGAATCCCTGGGACCGCTCAGACTACGTGAAGAGGTTGTCGAACGTATGTCCGAGTTCGATACGCACTATGAGTATCGTGTGAGACTGGCCGCTGCTGAGCTGATGGAAGTTTTGTGTGCTAAATATGGTCTGCCAATGTTCCAGACCTTCCTTCCGACAATAAAAGGTGGTATCGAGGAGAATTTGGAACGTGACCCACTTTGTACGAGTCAGGAAATGGAGGCGTCTCAGAAGGAATTGGACTTGGCAACGGTAAACCGTCCAGTTTTGTCTTTTATCAGCCTCCCGTGATCTCGGTGGTACTAAGCTTGTCACTCCTTTTTTACCTTATAGGACAGAAATCCGAATCTTAGTAAAAGTTCCCTGACCATCTTCCACGACACTGCTGGCTGGCGAAATTTGGAGACGTGGATGAAGTGCCTGGCGCACTGCATAACAGGTCTTGGCTCAGAAGTGATCAAGGACTATCGTGATCCGGAAATTCTGTCGCTGATCTTCAAGGCGGTGAATCATACCAATCGTTTTGTGCGAGAGACAGGCTATGATCTTCTTAGCACGGTGATTTTGAATCACGGCTGTCACGGAAAGGGGCCAGAACAGGACGGAGTGGAAGCAGTTCCTGATTTTGTTCGTGTCGCCGAACAACTAGCCTTTGGACTGGCCGATAATTGGAGCCGGGTATGGGGTTTTCCCTTATAGTATTTGAGTCTTTTATTTGCCTTGACTTTTAGCTCTCTGCCTTCCAATCATTTCCAAGGAAAAGACATTTGTGTGACAGTATGCAGCCTCGAGGAATGTCTATGCGCATTTGAGCACTTTCTGTTTTATTCCTAGTTGGTTTAGTTTTGCACGCCCTAGCTGAAAGAAAAATTTTTACCGTGCCATTTCTAGACATACATTCTTATTTGACACTATTTTTAGCATGGCTTCACTTGGCTTTAATGTAAGAGGCTTAAAGTGGTTAGAATAATTGATCACAGCAGGTGCTCGCTCTGAGTTTCATCGTAAGTGCCTGATTCAGGTCATTGGGGCCTCATAGCTTTGATATACGTTTTGAATTTGAGTCTACTTTCTACAAGCATAACTTAACCTCTTAGGTTTTAACAATACTCTAATCAGACCGATGGCGCTGTTGTTCGCATTTTTTAAATGGCTAAAATTCTGTCAAATCGGTCCACTTTTAGTTTTACTTATTTATTTGGTTACTCGGCTCGTCTATTAGTGGCTCATGGGGAAACGACTTGACACAGAGAGTGCCTGCGATATGTGAATCAGACATGCCGTCAGGA